CTCTCTCTCTCTCTCTCTCTCTCGCTCTCTCTCTCTCGGCCTCGTTTTATCCCTCTCTCTCTCTCTACGTGTCTCCCTGGATAACCTGCAGCGTGGGGAAACTCTGACTGCAATAGTACGACTAATTTTGGAATCCACATTTTTATTTGTTTATTCATTAGTGAACATGTTCATTATAGCACATGCTTGTGTGACCAAGTACTTCATTTATTAAGAAAAAAAAGACATGATGGCTCACAAGATATAAAAATATATAGCTGCTTTTTCTCATTTTAACACTCAATATTGCAGTCATATATTGATCAGGGCTCCCCTAATTAAACACCCTGAACACCTGCAAAACAACAATTCTGTCTCAATGTTTCTAATTCTATTGGCCATTTGAACTGTCACATTCTATCACATCATCACCCCACTAATGACTTTAAAATTCTTCTGCTCTCCTGTGGGGTGAAATTAAGACATTTAAAGCCCTGAGGCAGATCGGTGCTGCTAACACAGGGAGCACAATAGAGTTATCTTCACTAATGCCCTCTCTAATGCCCCATGCTGCAGTGCAGTTCAAATCCATGCCTTGATTACATTAAAGCTTCCCGTGTCTCTTCTTGGCCGCCTGATAAAGATGGTGAAGTGTTCCTTAATGACGGCTTCATGAAATTAACATTGTGTTCTGAAACACTAAATGTTCTGTGGAAAGATCAAACAAGGAAATCTGTGAAAGTGTACCAGCAATGCATTTTGTATTTCTCAAAGGTAGAGTCAAGAATGCATGGAGAACTAGAGGGAAAAATATTATGTTTTTATAAGGTGGAATTGCTCGTAACTCAATGTTTTTCGTGACCTTCCGGTTCATGGTATCTGCTTTAGTGCTTTATTTTAGTGCTTTAGAGACAATAGCAGGTTTAATATGATAACTCAATATTTAGCATTCCATTACAACACTGATGAAACTGTTAAGGCATGCACTTATGTAACTAACAGCTTTGAAAATACAGCAGCTTATTCTTTATTTAATCATCTTGATATATCACGAGATATTTAAATAGTATTACAATTTTTATTGTGATGCATTTAAGATGGTTATTTTAATGTGTTTTTTTATATAAATGTGACAGTTAAACTGCTTGACACAATTCTGAGATGTTAGTCATACTTCATTGTTCTTATTCCTCTGAAACTATTATGAATCATTTTTAAGTGACAAATATAACAAATATAAAGTGGGCCTCCTTTTCTCTATAGAAAATAAATATATATATTATGATTTTGTTCTGCCATCGGAACTTGATCTAAACATGTATTATCTGGAAATTGCCATTCCTCTTTCTTTGTAATCCTAAATTAAATGGATACAGTACAATTACGTGGTTCAAAACAGTACTGATCCATCCGTCCTTGCAAAAGGAGCTCGTGTTGCGTTTTTTTTCAAAAGAATAGGTGCATGTTTTTGTCCATTATATAGGTTTTTATTTACAATTACCCTTTTTATTTAAATTAAATTCATTAAAAATAAGTTTAACTTACACTTTTCAAATTTCAATTTAATTTTAGCCCACGTTTTTTTTTACTGTGCCAAAATACATATTAAATTGGTGCATTAAGAATTAAACTTTACCACTGCTTATTTAATTAGATTAATTTATATATACATAATTTAATTACATTTTAATTTATGTCGTCTCTATTAATAGACTTTATAATTCATGGTATCTAAAAATCAAATAATTGTTTTACTTTTTAAATTGTATCTTATTTAATTTTCATTTATTTATTAATAATTAACATTTAAACCAGTTTGAAGAAATAGTAGCATTATGCAAGCTTACAGTATTCTCCATATTATATTGCTTTGTTGTTTTCTATTTTAAACAAATTTCTCTCTATCGTTCCTTTCGACAGGTAAAGGTGTGGTTTCAGAATCGTCGCACTAAGCAGAAGAAGGATCAGGGCAAGGATTCAGAGCTGCGCTCCATGGTCTCTGAGACAGCCGCCACCTGCAGCGTCCTGCGTCTCCTGGAGCAGGGCCGGCTCCTCACTCCCCCAGGCCTGCCAGGGTTGCTGCCCCACTGCGGGAGCTCGTCGCTAGGCTCAGCCCTGCGTGGGCCGTCCCTGGGCATCACCGCTAATGGAGGCTCCTCCAGCAGCAGTAGCAGCAGTGCCGCCAGCTCAGGCACAGCCGGGGGGAGCCCGCCGCTGCCAGCGGTGACCAGTTCGGGGACAGTCACAGGACTGCAGGGATCTTCGCCTGCCCATGGGCTGTTTAGCTTCCCTATGCCCTCTCTGCTCGGGTCGGTCTCCTCACGCATCTCCTCCACCCCGCTTGGCATGGCTGGATCCCTCGCGGGGAACTTGCAGGAACTTTCTGCCCGCTTCCTGAGCTCGTCCGCATTTGAGCCCTACTCGCGGACAAATGGCAAAGAAGCATTAGACAAGAAAGTTTTGGAATGATCAATAGGGGTTTCTTTTTGTCCTTTTATTATTTTTTATTGTTGTTGTTGTTTTGAAATTAATTTGAGCTCTGATTATCTCTCTTTTTTAATCACTTTCGCCCCCTTTTGTCTCATCAGTGCTGTTATGTTTTCAGTCTTGCGTTTTTTCATGTCGTCAACCTGCACACTTGATGCCTCTCAGAATTGTAAAGAGGTGGACTCATACTTTTCAAAATCGAGGATTTTCAGAGCATTTTGCACTAAATCAAAGTTTCTCCAATTTGACACAAATGAGAGCTTGAGGAAGGAATGTAGCAAGAGATTATGGAGGGGAAGAGAGATGAAAATGGTTGCTGAGGCAATATTTTCGGGAAACTTTTTTTCCCACATACGTTTTGGAGCTGGACAGTTATATTCAGATTAAAAACTAATCTGAAAACTGATGGGTTGAAAAAAAAAAACAGTACAGAACATAGACCCCCCGATAAAAACTGAACTCACGGCAACATCCTTCATGTTTTCAGTTGGAAGAGCGATCTAAATGTGTGATTTTTACATAGTGGCGTTTACCAAGTCCCAAATAATGAAATATATTGGGATTCATTTCCAAAGGTTAGCATACAATACGGTCATACTGTGGCTTTATATACACAATTTGCTTACAGAGGTCATGAATTTGCCATATGAAGCTATAAGATTAGATGTCTATACCATTTTGTATTCGTATACAAATATTTGTATTGTATTTGGTTAAACATGTTCTGACCAAATGGAAGGAAAACGCTGTCACACCGTTAAATAGTCCAGTAGTCCTGTGTTCATTGTTCTCTAAATGGTTTCTTTGAGGGTGCTCCCCAAAATGAGTTTTGAAGGCAGTCTCAGTTTGTGAGTTTGTATGTCTTAAATATGCAGTTTTTCTCCTTTGTGCGTGCGTGTGTGTGTGTGTGCTGGTACTGAAGTTGTAGTCCTGGTTTCCATGTTAAGGTGCGTGTTTAACTGAAAACCCTTCGAGAAAACTTGAGATGTCATTGCCTGGGATTAAGCTCCAGAGCATCTACGTGACCCTTGCATTATTGGACTAAATGTGTTTGCTGTGAGCGGCAACCCCTCTACCAATGCGGCAAAGTTTTCCAGAAGAATTTGAAGCCCTTTCTATAATCAGAGCTGAGACGAGGCGGATCTCTGAGGGACGAACAGGGTACGATTACTGTAGTATAAAAGCAATGGTGTTGTTAAATATTTTGAAGTTTGTGAACCGTGGTATGAGTGTGGATATATATTATATATAACTAAAAAAATCAAAACAAAACAAATCTCTTCAGTATTTCATTCCATGTGTAAATTGTAAATGGCATGATGGTGTCTTCATGTGATGTTCTCAGCATCCGTGTAAATCGTCTAAGGTTAACTTAACACTGCCAGCTCTGCCTGCTCTTGTGATGTTTGAGAGACACACAGCCTTGCATGAATGAATGTCTCTGAACATCATGGAATGACAAACCCTCCTACTGTTGAGGTATTCAACCTATGGAGTATCAGAGTTTCATTCAGACAGAAATATCTCCCAGAGTTACTCCTTGTCTTTGTTTGTTGATCAGTTCAAAGGTTTGTTTGAACTGTTTGGTTTATGTAATATATATATTATTTCATTTTAATTTGGACACAAGTTTTCTGTGGCTTTACAATGCAGTTAAGATTTTTTAAATGTTATATGGCTGATCAGTGACATAAGATGAGGTGAATTAAATAATTTATTGAGGTGTGTTATGAAAGACAGACAACTGTTTTGTTTTCCAGAAAAGGAGGAAAAAATCATCTGTCATTGTAATTGGATGAACGGTATGATTTTGTTGCACTGCACAGTTGCATTTTATAAAAGAGAGATAATATTGAAAAGAAGTTGGTAGAATCAGGGCAGGGAGAATGAAAAGTAAATAATTTTTTGTAAATGTCTGTTAGAGTAAAGTCTTAAGGTTGTAGAATGGCAATGACTAGCCAAAAGAAAGCAGAACTTCATGCTGCAGCTGGAGTTTTGCAACACTGAGTTCCTGTCCTATCTGCACCGCTCCCTCATGGGCCCCCGATGGGTCACAATATCCTAGCATTTTAAAAATAAATAAATAATTAAATCTGCATTGGAAAACCAGAATATCGGTTTTTAAAAACATTTAAGTATTAACTACAAGTATTAAAACTTAAAAGATTTTTTTTTTCAATAATGATTTCTGGCAGATATAGTCTGGGGTTCGCACTGAGAATCCTGAATTTAAAATAGAAATTCAGTTCATATTTATTCTAAATACTTTTTGAAAAATCCTGAAATTGTTTAATTATTTAATTAATTTATTTATTTATTCCCCCACCCCTCCCCCAATTGATTTGTTATGATGGTAATATGAAAAAAAGGCATTAAAACAAAAAAAGGCATTAAAATGCTAGTGGTCTCTGACTGTAGGACCCCACTTGTATTCAGTAAAAACATTGTGTTCAATGATAAACCCTTGTCGTAACCATTTTGCCACTTTGTTCTACTTTTCAATTTTGAACCATCACTTGTATGTATGTGTGTGTGTGTTTATATGTATGCACTGATAGAAGTCTTCTAACTAAAGGCCTTTGTCATTTGCGTAAGCAGTATCTACCCTTCTGAGTCTTGGGAATCTTCCTAAAAAAAAAAACAACAGTCTTGGCCTCCTCTCTCCCTCCCCCCTCGCTCCATCTCTCCTCCCTTGCAGCCCAATTAGGCTGGAGGTCGAGCTGCATTGTGGTTAGGGGTGAGAGAACGGGTGGAGACGATGGGGGAGAGTGTGAAAGAGAGAAGGGGGGGATTGAGTGAGACCACCAACACGTTCCCCGCATCACATGACTAGCCCTTAAACCCCGGCCTATGGTGGGAGGAAACACAGCATCCTGTGAGTGTTTTGTGCTCTTTGTGTGTCCCTCACTTCCTCTTTTATTTGTGCTTACATATGGTGATCAGAGCATAAACACATGCTGTAAAAGAAGCTTGTATGAGCATGGAGTGGACTCGTGACCCCGATGGTCCCAGGGAGCGCTAAATCCCGTCACGGCTCTCCCGGTTTTTCCCTAAAGTGTCATACATGCTGACAGGCTTTTCTAACTAACTGATCCAATAAACCAATCAGAGGATTTCGAAAAGCGGAGCAGATACACGTCAGTAGCTTTGGCACATGGACTCACCAGGGCCCAATTTCAAGACAGCTGAAAATTAGATAATAAATACAAAAGGCAACCATAGCTATATTTACAAGCACCCAAATAATCACTTTATATCTGGACTGAAAAATCTTCATGTAAACACATCAGTTGATCCAGTTGAGCTCATTCTAAATGAAATTTCCATTGGATTGAAAGGCATAGTGTAGACCTGAAATAATCAACAGGAAAAAAATTAAACGTGAATACTTGGGTTAGGGATTGGTTTTCGTCTATATTTTTGGACAGTAATGTTGATCCAGGATCAACAAAAGATGTTGATTCAGGAACATGTCTTACTTGGCAAAATCACGGCGACCGTGAGTGGCACTACACCAAAATAGTCCATTTCGTAATGTTTTCGTATTGTTGTGTAATATTTTACGCAATTAAAAATCACTAGAATTTTAATTTCAATAGCACAATTCTGTACTAGGAGAGGATTTGTTTCCCACAGCGTCAGAGTTTCAGTCCTGCGTTTTGATTCAATTTGCATTTGCACGGAGCAAGTTCGCTTCAAGCGAACAATAATAAATACCTCGACACTCCAAACTCCCTCCACCTGGACCAAACCACACAGCCCTGAATTTTTATTTATTTATTTTTGTGTATGTGTGTGGACGGATGATGTATTTTAAGCGAGGGCATGACTCCAGTGGGTGGGTACTCTTCAGGGGCATTAATTTGCTATTTTTTGCATTCTGTCTGAAACATTTGGATTGACTCTCAAGAGACTTCACAAACGGCAGCATCACCACTTGCAACACCCACCCACTCCAAACTGTAGTGCTTTTCCCTGCCAACAGGTTTCACATTGGACTGTGTGTGTGTGTGTGTGTGTGTGTGTGTGTAAACTCATATGCATACAGTGTGTGTGTGTGAGAGAGAGAGAGAGGGAGAGAAGGAGAGAAGGAGAGAGAAAGTTAGGGCAGAGGTTCAGATCTTCAAATCTCAAACAATCTTCAAATCTCAAACATTAGATTTGAGTTTTGGACCTATTGTACCTGCTGCTTGTAGAGAGAGACAAATCCAGTGGGAGAATGAAAATCACAAATAAGTGTGTGAAGAGTGTGTCACATGGGGCTGTGTGTGTGTGTGTGTGTGTGTGTGTGTGTAAACTCATATGCATACAGTATCTGTGTGTGTGTGTGTGTGTGTGTGTGTGTGTAAACTCATATGCATACAGTATGTGTGTGTGTGTGTGTGTGTGTGTGTGTGTGTAAACTCATATGCATACAGTGTGTGTGTGTGAGAGAGAGAGAGAGGGAGAGAAGGAGAGAAGGAGAGAGAAAGTTAGGGCAGAGGTTCAGATCTTCAAATCTCAAACAATCTTCAAATCTCAAACATTAGATTTGAGTTTTGGACCTATTGTACCTGCTGCTTGTAGAGAGAGACAAATCCAGTGGGAGAATGAAAATCACAAATAAGTGTGTGAAGAGTGTGTTCAAACAGCTTGTGTAGCTGTCAGTTAGGAATAGTGATAATGATAGTTGAGTGGAAAGTTACACAGATGCAGATGCGAACGAATTCTACAAAAATAAGACTTTCCTTAAATTGGATCTCAAGAAAAAATTAGCAAAATAAAATCTAAACTGACACAGGTTTTTAGTTTTTAATATTATCTTCAATGGGAGAAAAAAGTTTAATCAATACACACACACACACACACACACACACACACACACACACACACACACACACACACACACACACACACACACACACACACACACACACACACACACACAAACACACACACACACACACACACACACACACACACACACACAACATTGAAAAATATGCTCCACCTCTGAAACAAATGTCCAATTCGCTGACATCATCAAGTCCTCTTATTTTTCAAGTCCTCTAATTTTTAACCCCTCCTCTCCCACCACTTTTCACATTCCAATCAATTCAGATAAACACAAAATATAAAAAATGTAACAACAAACAGGCCTACATTTCTTTCTTCTAAATATCCCTTTTTGCTCAGAAATGTATCACATTTCATAAGTAAAATGGGTTGTGAATATATTTTTTCTTGCTGATTGTAAAAGCTAATCATTAATTAGCCCAAAATGAAATTCATTTACTCACCCTCATGTCGTTCTAAAACAGTATAACTTTAAGAACATAAAATAAAAGATTTTGAAGAATGTCTCAGTTTTGTTTTTGTTTTGGAAGTCAGTGGTCACTAAAATGGTTTGATTACCAGCATTCTTTTAAATATCTACTTTTGTGTTCCAAAGAAGAAAGAAAGTCAGATTTGGAATGACATGAGGATGAGTAAATAATGACAGAATTTTAATTTGTGAATTAAATTTGTGAATTGGTGAACTACCGCTTTAAGAAGACCGCATATGAAGCATTCACAATGTTTTTGCTAAAGGTTTGAGCTTTTAGGATGAGAAAACCTTCGAACTACATTTATCAATTACAAAATTATCCAGTGGTCATAACTCTGTAGGTCCTGCACCTACAAAGCTATTCCTAGTTGTTGGCTGATAAGAAAAAAGTAAGCTCTTAAAGCTTGTATAGAACTGGACAGGTTTTAGCTTTCCTGCCATTTACTGCAGGAAAAAGTCACCTCATTAAGGTCTTTCAATGCTCTTAGGTGGTATTTTATCTGAAGCACTTTCAAGTAGTGATGTTAGGTTCTTGAACGAATCGTTCTTTTGAGCCGGTTCTCAGGAAGTAACCGGTTGAGGCGGTTCACAAATCGAACTGAATCGAACTTTAGTTCCGGGTTGATGACGCAGGACGCACAGCCAACTAAAAAAGAACCGAATGAGCCAGTTCAACCAACTGTCGAAGTTTGCCGAGGATTACCGAGGACTCAAAAAGAACCGAATGAGCCGGTTCAACCAACTGTCGAAGCTTGCCGAGGATTACAGAGGACTCAAAAAGAACCGAATGAGCCGGTTCAACCAACTGTCGAAGCTTGCCGAGGATTACAGAGGACTCAAAAAGAACCGAATGAGCCGGTTCAACCAACTGTC